AAAAAAAAAAAAAAAAAAAAAAAAATTATTTGTTGTTTAACCCTTCTCTTATTCACTCACCCAGTATCTCTGAATGACTCCTGTTCACTGGAAACTGAGGTGAGCGCCCCTGCCATGTGCAGGGACCATCCAGTAGGTTTTCTAGAGAGCCTTTCCACAAAAGCCGTGCAACGTCTAACTTTTTAAACAGGGAGCCAGTTCACTGTCCCTCAGACCGTTGGAGGGCCATTGGAGAGTGCAGTGCACATTCCACACATGCGCACCGTGGGCCCGGGATGAGTCGGCTGCTAAGCAGGACAGGCAGTGGTGGCAAAAACACCTAGCAGGCCGGATAAATGTCCTTGGTGGGCCGCAGTTTGAGGACGCCTGGTCTAAGGAAAGCATAGCATGTGTGTGTTCCTTTATGGTCTTAGCAACTGGAAAACCCCCTGCTTGCTTGTCCTGGTAGCTCTTCACTCAGAGGTTACAAACTGGTGACCGGGACCCATTGGATTTTGCTCAGCCTGCGCGATATCTTAAGCATTTTGAAATTAGTTGCTAACATTTAGTTAGTTGCTCCCAAAAATGGGAGCATTTCACCTGAAAATTTGAATTTTGGCTTTTCTCTCAAAATCTGGCAACGTGGCTCAAGCAGATATTTTGGTTTCTTCCTCTGCTTTATTGAAGGACGAGTGTTTTGTCCATTGGAAATCAAAACTTATCAGAATCTGATTCCTGCAGAAATGCCACCACCTCCCCTACCGACCCAAGTCGGAACACAAACCTTTCCAAACAAACCCTTTGAGTACAAAAAAAAGCTAAATTCCTCCCAGTTTCCTGGCTGTGCTAAATTACTGCCTCTACGTAATAATAAATTTGAGGAAGACCAAAAACACCTCCTTCCTATTTCCTCCCTGATCCAAACATCTTACCAAAGCAATAGAGCTGAGGACGTTGGTCAATTTACCCCCAAAGCAAACAGGGATGTCGCACAGTAACTCAGGTATTAATAAAGCTTAGTATGGAGCTGCCAGGATGAATCTTATACTGGAGACAAACTTAACCTCAATGCTCTCAAAAAGAGGTAATGTGCTTTGAGCCTTGAGAACATGGGATTGTATGATAGAGACATTGAGGGGCTGAGTTGCAGCTCCAAGTCTCCACTTATGTGTCTTAACCTCTCTGATCCTCTGTCTCTTTATCTCTGAAATGGGAATCATGAATGCGGGCCCTGCAGGTTTCTCGGAGATGCTCAGAGGTTTCAAGGAACTAATATATGTGACTAAGCACTTTGACAACTAAGTCCATGTCACTGCCTAAAATCCACCACTCAGTGCTCACACTGCTGCGGGGCATAGTCCCTGGGACTGCGCATTCTGATCTGATATAACCTTGTGTTATCAGTAGGGCTTCCCAGTCTTTTATAGAACAATGCCAAGAAATGTTGTCTCCTATCCAAGTTCATCCAGACCCAGCCCAAGAAAGGTCGCTGATCCTAGCCCAGGGAAATGTAGGTGAGCTATCCACATCAGTGTAAGTGAACTTACACAACGTGTAAGTTCTGATCTGAAAGCAGAACGTTTGTAAATGTTCTATGTCAGAATAATATAAAGAATTGATGATTACATTATGCCTAAGTGGTTACAGAGAGTCCAGCAGACATGGAGGGGGAATCTCCCCATCATAGTAACAGGCAGAATAATGTTGTCTGGATGCCAAATGCCCAGGTGTGAATTGGAAGAAAGTTGTCATTATAGTTGGGAATTAGCAGGGTTCTAGTGGTCATACTCTAAATGCAGCCTATGGTGTTATTGATGTCATTGGCCACAGGTGTCCTGGGGCAGGAGACAGAGGAGAGGAGTGGTCAATCATGCCCATCCCAGGTTGGGGTGCCTGGCACTGGTTTCCTCTTTGGGGTAGACCACTGTGGCTCACGTCACTCGTCCTCTCTAGCCAGGATTCTCATCCCTGTTGTACAGAAGAGGAAATGGAGGCTCAGAGCAGCTAAGTGACCTGCCCACACTCCTCTGACAGAGTCTAAGCTCCTGGACCCCAATTCAGTGCTCAGGCCATATGGTAGAAACAGCCAGAAGGGCTTGGGGAGTCACAGTGACAGTGCCTTGGAGCCAGGGGTACCCTGCAGATGGTCATTAACCAGCCAGGGCCTGGGTTTCTTCAGGCTAACCATTCTGGTTTTGAGGACTAGCTGGGCACTTTTGTTTTCTTACGTACAATGAACTTCCTGGTCCAAGGAACAGCAAAACACCAAAGGATGAGCAGGACTAGTACCTGGCAAGCTCAGCACAGCCCTGCCCAAGCCCTGGTGCTCACGTAGCATGTGGCTCACTCAGCCTGGGAGCCTTCCCCACTCTGTTGTTCGTGGTCCCGCCCCGGCTGAGGACGCTGGCACGCTGTCCAGCAAACTCAGTGCACACAGCCCCCAGGAGTGCCGTCCAGGCGAGACAGAGCCTTTTGTCTGGCCTTCCTCTTTTATCAGCCGTGCCCAGCTTTCAGGACAGTCAAGTGTTGGGAGTCACAGTGCCCACGTTTGCCACGGCCAGCTCGGTCAGCCGTCCCTGGCAGTCGGAACAAGAGGGGTCAATGGAGAGGCCTCCCCCACAGCTTGGCTGCTCTTCAGGGCTGGCATCCTCTGGCATCGGATCGGTGCGCGCCGAGCCATTGTGAAGAGCGCTCAGCACGGGCACCCGGCCAGAGCCCGAGCCCGGGGCAAGGTTTGTCCTACAAGCAGAGAGGGCCGCAGGACTGCTAAACTGGAAGTCTGTGTGCGTGCAGGGTGGACCGGGTGCAAACGGGTGGGGCCGCATAGACGTCCACGAGAGAGCCCACTCCAACTGTCCACCTCACTGCCCTTCTTCCCACCGCTTCCTGGGCACCCTTCCCCCATACCGGTGTGGAAATTGGCCCGTCGTTATTCTCTTTCTGCCTTCCATGGACAAGTGGGAAGAATACGGTTCCCCATGGAGCCCCGTGTCCTCACTCCCTGAGTGACTGGGCCAAGGTAAGTGGATCCTACACGGTGGATCCTCCCCGACGTTTCCTATGCTTCAGACTGGACTTGCTCCGTGGTCTGTGCGCGTCTCTGCTGTCCGGCATGCCGGCGGTGCCGTTGGTGCACACGTGGGGTCCGCTGCATTTTCAAACCAGTCGCCGTGGGGTCCTTTCCTGTAACCAGCCTCCAAGCCACGAGTCGGGCTTTGAAGGCAGCAGAGAAGTTGCCTAAAAGTTAAATTAGGTAAAAGGGTGAACACTATCAGAGTGGCATTGTGTCTGTGGGAGTTTTTTTTAAATTTAAGCAGTTGCCTAGTTTCCTGTTCCTGGGAGGAAACCGCTGCAGCAAGCGTGCCGGGCTGAGCGGTGCTGGCTGCTGGGCGAGGGTTTCTGCGCACGCGCGGCTCCTCAGCACTCGGCCTGGGTGAGGCAGGACCGGCTCCCAGAGAGGATGGAGCCCCCTCCCTGCCACCCTGACCTCGGCACACGGCCAAGCCCTAGCCAGGGTCTGCTAAGAGAGAGACCCGTCACGGTCCCTCCCTGCCTGGGCATTACTACGGCTCTGGCATGTTTGAGAAATGGCCTGTAGCTGCCTTCCCACCGGGGGTATTAGCTCTTTCCAGAAGACAATGCAAATCATTGTTTTCGCCCACTGAATGCTGGGTCTATGTGGTCAACCCCGGGGGGAGGAGGAAGTCTCATTTCTTTCTAGGACAGCATGACTTCTGAGCAAAAGTTGAAATGTTTCAGGTTCAAGACTAGGGACATTCATCACCACTGAAATGATGGGATGTTTCCAATGAGAAACAAATTTTTCTGGAGGGATTGTAATGGACGGGGTTTTTCAAAGAAAACCATAGGCTCTCCATGTTAAGAGTGTGGTTAAGATCAAAAAGATGAAAAGATCAAAGTGGCCATTGACCTCCCGGT